GTCTCGTCCCGTGGCGTCACTTCCCGGAGGTGGGGTCCTCGCTGCTTGGCCTTCCCCCCGGGAATCGGAGCCGTGTAACTCTGGGCCCGGCCGGCCTCGCCCCTCGCCGGGCGCCCGTTGACGAGTTGTAGGCTGCACTGGCCTCAGGCCGAGCGCACTCTGCCTCCTTAGCACGACGACGGCGAACACGCGGGTGCAGCAAGCCCAGGGCTTCTAAGAGGTGTGCCGCACGTGCTATTTACTGAGCACTTATTAAGTGCTAACCACTTGGCAATCATTATTTCTAATTCCCGTAAACTGATTAGACACGCACATTTAGGTATTTTCCCCATATTACAAGTGAGCAACTGAAGTTCTACAGGGGCAGTTAAGGGCTCATGACTCAAACCCAAAGTCTTTTTTCCTTCCTTTCTTTCTCGTTTTCTTTCTCCTTCCTTCCCTTTCTCTTTTCTTTCTTGTCTTTTTTTCTTCTTTGCAGTATTGGGGGTCAAACTCAGGACCTTGCGCTTGCGAGGCAGGTGCGGCGCCCGAGCTTAATCCCTGGCCCTTCTTTTGCCCTTTTCTGTAGCCTTTCACGAGGTAGTGGTGAAGGACAGGCAGACTAAATTCTGTAGGGAGTGGGGACAGACAGACTCATTAACCCAATAGGAGATATTTGAGTCTTGGGTTTGGCAGGTAGCACGGGAAGGGGAGTGAATGCAGCCAGCAGCAGAGGAAGGAAGGAAAGCCTGGAGGAGTCCCCTGTGCGGGAGACTGAAAATCGTCCTGGCTGGAGTCGATGTGGTCCAGTCCCTTCATAATGGGAAACAGGCTCAGAGCGGTTAAGCAGTTGTACCAAGTCACACCCCAGTAATACGGAGCGGCCAGGCTCCAGTTTTGGAGTCTTTTGGCTTTTAGAAGGATGCCAAGATAAACAAAAGAAATGAAGAAAAAAAAAAACCCTAAAAGAAATGAAATCTGCTGAGGAGAGGAGTGGGAATGCGGAAGGCAAGGAGGAAGGCAGCTGATAAAAATCAGGCTAAAGGAAGGTGTGGACAGACCCACTCTGGAAGGTGAGAGCTGTGTGTTTTGGGACAGTTTTGTTTCCATTCACTCTTCCTCAGTCCTGATCTATGGAAAATTTACATTCTTCTTTTGGGCATATGAAGCTTTAATGCATTTCTTGATATGCCTGTCTCTGCTTTGTAACTCTAAGGTCCTTGACTAGTAGCCAGCACAGTTCCTCATATAGAGCAAATGCTCATTGTTTATGTAATGACTAGGTGTTTTCTGAAGACCTCACAGTTATCTTAGCTGACCGTAATTCTACTCCATTCAGAATTCTTTTTTTGTGTATGTGGAGACTGGGCCTTCACCCTGAGCTATACCCCCAGCTCTTTTCTAATTTTTAAATTTTGAGATAGGGTCTTGCTAAATCATCCAACCTGGGCTTGAACTTGGAATCCTCCTGCCTCAACCTCCCAGAGTGATGAGATCACAGGTGTGTGCCACCACCCTTGGCTCATTCGAAAGTTCTTTGAATAGGACCAGGGATTTAGCTCAGTGGTTCCTGAGCCTGCCTCGAAAGCACAAGAACCCGAGTTGGATCCTCAGTATGCAAAAAAAAAAAAAAAAAGTTCTTTAAAGATGTTTGTACCTGTCTGTTCACTCTTGATATGTGATCCTTGAAGGATAGCAATCAGCTTTTAGCACAGGACTTGGAATAGATTAAGCCTGCAGTATAATGTTGTCCAATGAATAAATTAATTTAAAAATTTTTATTGGTGGTACTGGGGACCGAGCTCAGAGCTTTGTGCATGCTGCTACTGAGCTACATCTCTAGTGTAGAGACCTTTCCTTTTTTTTTTTTTTTTTTGGTACCGGGGATTGAACTCCGGTCCTTGCACTTGCAAGGCAGGCCACCGAACCACTGAGCTAAATCCCTGGCCCCCCCCTTTTTTTTATGGTACTTCAGATTGAATTCAGAGAGGCTCTACACTTGAGCTACAGCCCCAGCCTCTATTTATTTAGGTACTGGGAATTGAATTGAGGGTCTTTGCACTGAGCTATATCTCTAGGGTGTTTTGTTTTGTTTTGTTTGAGACAAATTCTCCCTAACTTACTAAATTGCCCAGGCTCAGCTTGAACTTTGAATCCTGTTTTTTTTGTGTGTGTGTTTTGAGTCTAGGTCTCACCATGTAGTTCAGACTGCTCTGGAGCTCACTGTGTAGCCCAGGCTGGTCTCGAACTCAGCGATCCTCCTGCCTTAGCCTCTCCAGTGCTGGGATTACAGGCGTGTGCCACCATGCCCAGCTCTGTTGTTCTTGTTTTTGTTTTCTGCTGGGGATTAAACCTAGAAGTGCTCTACCACTGAGGGACATCCCTAGCCTTGATTTATTGATTTAGAGACAGGGCCAGCAAAATTGCCCAGATAGGGTTTGAATTTGTGATCCTCTTACTTCAGTCTCCCTCAGTACTAGGATTACAGGTGTGCACTACTATGCCTGGCTATGAGCCTTTGTAACGGGCTCCTAGAGATTGGTGGGCACAGCACTGAGGCACAAGTTCTGATCAGAGCCCTAGCTCCCTTCCTTATAACCTATATTGTCCCCCAGCTGCAGAAGCAGGAGCATGATGGCCGGGTAGCTGGAGGGAAAAGCTAGCTGCTTCTCTGACTTTTCTGGAGCCTGGCTCCCAGCTTTGTTTTCCACCACAGCCTGCGCACAGGGCCCCTTCTCACACATACATCCCCTTGGTTCTCACCCTGTGTAACAGTTTCCCTGGCCTGTGTCCTTTTTTGCTCCTGCTTTCCTTTTCACCCACAGACAGATGGGAAATCTCCATCAAAGACTAACACTGCCTCCCAGGCTCAAAGGATCACAGCACCGGCCTGGAAGAAGCTCCTTTACATGAAGAATTTGGAACCCTGATTGACAGGATTCAGAGCTACCCCTCCCCCAACACATACACTGACCCAAAACAGGAATGACCATCTGGATCCGCTTACAGGACTGGCTGGGGGAGGGAAGGTTGGCAGAATGGGAACTGTCAAGCTGGCAAACCTGTGATGCTGCTTATGTGACAGTGAGATGGGACACCTCCTGTGTTGGTGTTAGGGCATTCCCTAAACTGGCTTCATATATAGGAGTCCCCACGGCTCACAGATCTTTCTCAGGCCACCATGCTCATTCTCAAATTTAAGGCTCCCCACAGTCTGACTCCATATTTCGTTCCCTTTGAGGCCCGTCTTGTTTCCCTCCCAACTTGCTTGGAGCTAGTAGCCTCACTAGCTATTTGCCCTTTGTTTTATTTTGTACTGGAGATCGAACTCAGGACCTTGTGCTTGCAAGGCAGGCAGCGGGACCACAGAGGTAAATCCCTGGCCCTATTTGCCTTTAAGACTTCAATCCATGGACCTCATAGCTCATATCTTTGCTCACATGGTTCTTTAATTGGGAATGTCCTTTCCTTCCTCTTCTACACCATGTTCAAGGTTTCGGGCAAATGCTCCCTCTTTGCTCCCAGAGCACGAAGGCTGTTTCCACTTACTGAATATTCATGTATCTTGCATTAGCATTAGCTGTTTACATTCTACTTCCCCCAAGAGACTGAACTCCTTGAAAAGGGGGCTGACTGGATCTGCTGGTCCCTGGAGTCCAGCTGGGCACTGGGCAGATAGAAGTGTTTAGGGAATGTCCCAGGAGCTATTTGTTGACCACAGAAGATCTCCTTAAGGGGAAGCCTCACCTTAACCAACAATTCTACAATAGTGAAACAGGGCTGGGCTGCAGGACAGAGGAGCTGCTGGGCATGATGCAAAGTGTGGCGTGGGGGAGGGCAGGTCCTCTCTTCCGCAGCCTTTCTGCTCAGCACCGTCATTTTCCTGACTGCAGGAGACTGGGTATCTCTGTGTTATGGCTGCAAAGTTCTCCATGGTTGGGAGAGGACCAGGGAGCCAAAACAGTGCAGGAAATGACTTGACTTTAACCCTTTTAGACATCAGAGTTTACAACACTACTTTACTTCACTCCATTTTACAGCTGGGCAAACCGACCTGAGATTATAGAAAGCACAGCTAGGACCAGAATGTCTCCCATGTTGGGGTGGGTAGTAAACCATGAGTTTGGACATGTGGGGCCAGGAGCCAGTCAGCCTGCCCAGTGTTTGAATCTTAGCTCTGTCACGTTAGGAAAGTAACTGAACCCGATGTAGGAAACAACCCAAATCTTGTCGTGGGCTGAGGATTTAGCTCAGTGGAACTGCGCCTGTCTTGCAAGCTCAAGGAACTGAGTTAGATCCCTGGTACCAAAAACAAAATAAAAAATCTTGTCCTGGTTTTTGTGGGGCTTGTACCTGAATGGTGCTTGGCCAAAAGAAAGATTCCATTCTAGCCACTGTAGCAGATAAAACCACGTTACTATTGTAGGACCCATAACCTCTTCAAAAGCACTTTGATGTGTATAATCTATGATTTGGAACCTCCTTACAGCAGTGAGATAACCAGAGAAAGTAACACAATACCATTCTACTGAAGAGAAAATATCAGAAGAGGTTCAGGGCCATGCCTGAGGTCTAATCATGTATTAGACAAAGTTGGGGTTCTAAAATCCAGCCCAGGGTCATCTCTGCTGGTGACCCATTTTAGGGTGACTAAAGAGTGAGGAAGAGAGATCAGCCTGAGACCTTATAACACCTCAACTTAAAATAGGTGTAGAGTATGGCCATTTAGGGCCAGGATCCATTTAAAGAAATGTGAGCGCGGGAGACAGAATCGTAGAGTGGCACATGCTTGTTGTCACGCCCATCACAATACCTTCTATCCACCCACTTTGCCTCCCAAACCATTTGCATCCCTAGCCCTGACAAAGCTTCAACATAGTGGGGCACTTCATGGCAGAAGGTGCTGGAGAGGACTCGTTTCATAGCAAGATCCAGTGTTCAGGGAC